GCCCCCAACTGCCCATACCCCCCCCCCGGCCCCGCTGGAGCTGCCAGGCTGGCTCTGTGGGCGGCCCTGCCCGCCTCCCCGCCCGCAGCGGCGCCGCCAGAGGAAATGAGCAGGTGGGGCCTTGAATGACCCTGGTCCAGGCCGGGGGTGGGGCACCAGCCTCTGCCCACAACCATAGACTACCCACCTCCTGGGCAGGCACATCATAGTCCTAATCTCCTGATAAGAAGAATACTCTTGGCCCAGCCTCAGGACTGGCAGGGACAGCTAGGTCCTGAGAAGGGACAAGGGAGCTGGGGGCATGGTCCAGCACCTCCTGTGCTCAGAATCCTGCAGCTTTAAATAGGACTTCCCATTCCCACCACCAGCAGCAACTCCTGGCTAGACTTCCTAGTGGGGCGCAGGGCCCAGCACCTACTGTGTGCCAGGCACTTTGCCCAGGGCTCTCCACACCTCACTCATCTCAGCTAAGCATCTGGCACACACTCAACCTCCAGCTCCATCTGTTTAGCACCCACATGCAGGGAGGGCATAGAGGAGGTGCCCAAACCATGCGGTCTGCCCCCCCAGATGAGGAATGTACAGCACTAGTTAGCACATAAAGGGGAGACCGAGCCAGGATTCAGGGCTCTATCCCAAGCCCAGCTGGGTGGTGTGACCTCACCTGGCACCTTCCCCTCTCTGGGCCTACCTATCTCCTTGGGGCCAAGTATACACTTGGTGCTCAACATATGAACCCTTTCCGTGGGGCAGCTGTCCTGTAGATACCAGGGTGAACCCCGGGAAGTTCAGGAATGTGTCATGGGCACTGGCTCTGCTGCCTGGTGTGCACAAGCAGGGGTCACCATTGTGCGTGTTGGGGACTCACCAGCTCATCGAGGTTGCGCAGGTCGCTGGGCGTCATGCGGGGCCCACGAGTAGGAGCCCCTGGTACAGCAGTGGTTTCAGAGGCGTCCTCCCCAGCAGCGGGGGCATTGGGGACTGTGGGGGCGGCACGCAGCTCACGCTCAATTTCCTGTTCGAACTGCACCAGGCGGGGGGCGAGCAGGCCCAGGCGGGCCCCACGTCGTGCCACCTCCAGCAGGCACAGCACCACGCTCTTCTCATTCTTGCGCAGCACCAAGTCCTCAGTCTCAAACATGAGCACTTCGGGCACACCCAGCTCTGTACGGCACCAGCCAATGAAGGTGGCCACGTTGTCGCGAGCCATGAAAGAGCCTGGCACCACACTGTGTGCCTGGAAGGCCACACCTCGGGCTGGACGGGCAGCAGCCAAAGTGCGGGCGGCCTCAGTGACAGCATTGGCATGCTGGCACAGGGTGGTGCCTGTGGCCAGCCCTGTCAGGAAGCCATCGCCACCACTGGGCAGACCCAGACCATACAAGGCATTGAGCCACTCGGCCAGGTCCTCCTTCATGGCCTCCACGTAGGCCTCACTTGAGCGGAATGGCCGCACACTCTTGGCTGCCGAGCCCGCGATGCCCGCCACTGGGTCTGCCATGCCCGGGCCAGCCGAGTCACTGTGGGCAGGAACAACAGGTCAGGATTGCTGTGAGGACCCAGCCAGTGTTCAACACAGACTAAACCGCTGACCACCTGCACCAGCCTGTCACTCAGGCCAAATGCCTGGCTTAAGCACCAGCAGCGGGGGCTGGCCCGTGGCTCACTTGGGAGAGTGTGGTGCTGATAACACCAAGGCCACGGGTTTGGATCCCTATATAGGGATGGCGGGTTGGCTCACTTGGGAGAGCGTGGTGCTGACAACACCAAGTCAAGGGTTAAGATCCCCTTACTGGTCATCTTTTTAAAAAAGCACCAGCTGTGAGAAACATCTCTGTGTCTCAGTTTCCTCATCTGAGAAGTGGATATGGTAACATTACCTGCTTCATAGGATTCGATGGGATAATTTTTATAAACACCTTAGTGTCCATAAGAGCCGTTTGTTTTTATAAACACCTTAGTGTCCAAAAGAGCTGTTTGGCTCTTTTGGGGATGGGTACTGGGGGTTGGCCAGGCCTCCCTCCCAAGCAGGGAGGTGTCCATCCTGAAGAGCCAATACCTGGAAAGATGAAGCCAACAGCCTGGACCCCCAATGGATAGGAGCAGAACCCAGGTCCCAACCTCAGGGAGGGGTTATCTTCCTGAGGGAAGATCCCAGCTCCTCCCTTGGCCTTCCTTAAGGACAATGCCATTACGACGACATAATAGTAGTAACAATATCGGTAACAGCAACGATCGTGGCTAAGGGCTGACTGTGCAGTGATATCATCTCCATTTTACGGATGAAGAAACTGAGGCGCAGAAAGGACAGGAGCTCGCAGAAGGTCGCAGGGCGGTGGGTGGAGGAGCCAGGGCGACCCGGGGGGCGCGACGTTTCTGATCTCTGGCGCGATCCCGAAGCCGGGCCGTCAGGGGCCAGGCCCCACCTCCTCCAAGAAGCCTCCCCAGAGCCCCAGGCCGGTTCGTGCGGGCCAGGACTCGGAATGGCCTCTGCAGGCCCCGCAGGTCCTCCGGACCTTCGCCCAGAGAGGGTGCGGGGCCGCGCAAGGTCACACAGCCCAGGGGAACAGAGGCCGCGGACGCCGCCGCCCGGCCCCCATCGGTGCGCGCTGAGGAGGGGGTGCTGGGGGTCCCCGCGCTCACCTGGCTCATCCCGCGGCCCAGGGGAGCATCGCCCTGGCGGGGGCCGGAGCTGGGCCGGGCCCGCCGCAGGGAGGCGCCGCCCGAACCGCAGCAGATCCCGGTCCCCGCGCCGCAGCGGCCTCCTCCTCGCCCGCCGTCTCCGCCCCGCCTCCCTGGAATTCGGATCCGGCCTGGAGGGGCGGGCGGGGCCGCGCGCTCTTAAAGGCGCAGCGCCTTTCCCGATGGGCTGGGGATGTCTGC